GGCGATTATTCAACCGGATGAGCGTCAACTCTCCACAGAGGATGCTAATGATTCGCGACTGGTTACAAAGACAAGGTGGATAGTAGAAACTAGAAATGGGCACATTAAATCCATTTTCGAATTCCTTGAGAAAATTATACAAATCCAGCATCTTCCAAATCTAGGAGATTTTTACCGGAGCTATTATTAACAGATATCACCCGCCCATTCTCATGGAAGAAGCCAATGCTGAAATGGCCCAACAATTACTTGACAAAGTGAGGGAACCAAACGTCGTCCAAGCAATGGTTGAGGTGGAAAATCTCAAAACCAGGAATGCTCAAAGGTGGGTTCGTTTGGATGCTGCACAATTGCTTGATTTTCCAGTCTTGACGGTGGAGTTTCTAAAAAATCTCACAGTTGGTGTATATTAAATCAAGTTAGCACCATCTTATGTGCAAGATAAATTACAAAGAGACGAGAAAGAAGAGTTTCAACTTGAAATGTTAAGAGGTGTAAACAGATTACCACAGCCAGGATTGATAAGAATTAGAGTTTTTTCACGATTCCGCAAGGCAATGAAATATCAGCTATGGATTTCATACCAACCGACTAATGATGATGAGGTGGACGATGGGATGGATAATCACGAACGTACTCTCATTGTATGAGTAGCCTTGTAGGCTACTACTGTACGTGTAAGTCCGGCGCTCGAACTCTTGGTACCTGTGCGCATATTGCCAGTGTCCTATGGTTTATGGGATACGCACGCCATCAAGTTAACATTCGCTATCCCTCAACAAGACTACTCGAGTCCATACATGACGCAGCAAACAGACCGCAACAACAAAATGTAAATATTGTACCAGAAGTCATTGACGTTTAGATTAGATTGCATTCTATTATCTATTATATGCATAATCTATTGCCACTTTTTATTTCGGTTCCGGGAATGTTTTAAGACTGAGCTGGTCTTATGTTAAAGCACAAACACTCAAACCAACAGATACTCTGATACGAATGAATAACATGCTATGTCTGACATCTTCTAAAAAAGACCAACTTGCATTAATGTATCATAAACGTATATAACCATGCATAACGGACACTAGAAACGCACGGAACATTTTCGACAAAGAAATCGGTTCTTTTTAGGGCCAAATGATGTGTAAACTCCGATCGCGCAACCTCCTCGCGGTGCACATCGGGTAATTCTAATGCCGACGGTAATTGCTTGATTAACGTTAATTAGTTGTACGTTTTATTATGAAGGAATTAAACGCTCTTAGAATTTAATCGATAAAAATGGCGATCAATTAAAACGGAATTTTCATTTACGCGCGCGCACACACACACACACACACGCACACAAAACATATACACGGTACCAGCATTATCATCCATCGTAAACATTACCATAAGCCGATGAACGCATTTTCGCGATGTTTGACGCTCTGTATCTCGGAAACTGTCCATTTTTTGACTTTGTGCCCATAGACACTTTTGATCGGGACGTCATGAACTACATTATACTACATTTTCAGTCGATTCGACTGAGATCCATTTTCCATAAGGTTTGTGCGGGGTCCTTTACCAAAGTTTGTTGTTTAGATTTTTTCACTAAACTTTTATTAATTAATGTTACATCCGAGCCCGTATCAATTTTAAAATCACACAATTGTTTATTAATATAACCTTTAAAACAAAACAATTTTCTTTTACTTTTAATATTTTTAAACTTATTACAACAAATTTTATTATTCTCATACGGGGTCTTTAGTTCGATAGCCGAACTTGCCCTACTAGTTCGACTAAATCTAGTTTCTCTTTTAGGGTTTTGCTTTAATGTTGGACATTCTGCTCAGAAATGACCCGAATTTCCGCATTGCCAACATTCTTTATTATTTTGAATAATTTTATTCTTTTGAATCTTATTTTTTTGAAAAACTTTAATTTCCTTTTATCTTTGACTTTTTCCTCTTCATTTGTTTCTTTCAAATAATTGTTGTCCTTATTTTTATTTTTATTAAACTTTTCCGTATTCTTTTTAAATTTTTCAGAAAAACTATTTTCATTTACTTCTTTTATAACTTTTGCTGTTTCAATTGCTAATTTTAGCGATGTTATCCCTTCTAATTGAAGGGTTCTCTTTATAAATCCGTCGTTCAAAACATTGATGAATTGTGCACATGCAATTTTTTCGCGGACTTCAATTGAACATTCCGCATATGCCAATCTGGCAAGTCTTTCTATCTCAGCACCTAAATCCGAAACATCTTCTCCAAATTTTTGCCGACGATTCGTAAATTGAGTGTAATATGTACCTGAGAGGCACCCCTCTCCAAAACGTAATTCCAATTTTGATTTTAATTCGTCAAAATTTAAATTTTCTATTTCGGACACACATTCTAACACCGAACGTGCCTTTTCCCTCAAACAAGAAGCTAACGCGAAAGTTTTTACTCTATTCGACCAATTATTTGCACTAGCTATCAAATTAAATTGTACAAAGAATTCGCGTAAAGATCCCGTTCCGTCATAAACATCAGGCTTTAATTTATAACCCAAATTCATAGCATTCGCACACAATTCATCTCGCGGTATTAAATTTTCGCGACTAGCGTTATTCTGAGAGTTATTATGTGCACGACTTAGCTGGGTTAGTTGTTCTTCAAATCCCTGCATCGCCAAATCTCGCCGCTCCAATTCCGCCTGCAACCGCTCCCGTTCCTGCCTGCGCTCCTCCCGAAGCTGCTCCAGCTCCTGCAGGATCGCTCTCAACGTTTCCGTTTCGGCAGACATCGCTGGGGTTTGCGAGCGCGTTCTCCTTGGCGTATGCGTAGTTGCCATTCTCAAAAACAATAAATCACTGCACAGTCCGATCGTTCGTTA